CCAGCTTCCACTTCAAGTTCAATTTAGGAAGAGAGAGAGAAATTTGGTTGTTGTTGTCATTGTTGTTCAAATCCTCCCATTCGAATAATTGGCATTTAAAATATTGTGGAATTAGAACTGACTGCATGTCAAACGATTATTTTTGCCTGTGAAAGATTTTAAAAAATGAATACACTCTGACTTCCGACTCGGTTGTTTGTTGTTTTGCTCACCGGTAATGAGGATGATGACAGCAGCCTGGGAATCGGCAGTGGCGGAGCGGTGAGGAAGAAACCAGATTTGCAACCAGTCTGCGCTAAAATTACGCACCGCGACGCCAGTGGAACTAGTGGAACTCTTTTCAACCAAAGGTAATCAATTATTAGGTGAAGTAGATTTGACAGAAAGGTCATCGACATCTGGCCAAAGTAGATTTTATTTTCAACTATAAAATAAAAGCTTCCTTCTGAAGTGAAAGGCGCACGTAGTTCAACCTATGTCAAGTTTGGAAAAAGGAAATGTTCTGATACACACGGCGAAGGAACTTCAGGAATCTCAAACTAGTCAATTGATTTACATCTAGTCCTTTTATTGTTTAGCTAGCAAGTAGCATGAAAACTCAACTGTGCCGGATTGGCAATATCCCCGCACCTTTATAGTCAAAATTGCGAAACTGCCTAAGAACAGCCATACCTTTCTGCATACATGATACCAATCAAGGACACTTTAACCTGCGGCAGATCACATCCTGGAGCTCAGTGAAGAAGTTGAATAATCAATAAAAGGGGTTAAACAGATACAAAGCTTTGAATACAATATGCTTTGCCCGCAATGTAATTCATAAGAGAGCAAATAAATAAAATAAAATGCCACTTAACCGTAAGGTTTAACAGTTCGTTCAAAGTAAATAAAACAATAATGAGGCACCAGTCGAAAGTGCATCACTTCATTGCGCTTATCACCTATACCTTTCCCCCAGAGACATCTACCGAAAGTCATTCTGTGTGATATAAACCCAACTTCTGATGCTTACTTTATCGACAGTTCAATTTACCGATTATCCTATATCTGTATGGCATATTGTCTAACCGATTTACGTAACGTATACCGACGTTCCCATGGGGCAACACCAGAAGGTTGCCATTTATTCCACGTACACAGCATCTGCCTGATCCCATTCAGCCTACTAGTATGCCCCAGTAGGGTGAGCATTAGATACCGTTGGGCTTTTTTAACAAACACCTGTATGATGAACAGTAGACGGGGTAAACCCCATAGTCCCGAGGACCTGCTGTTCAGTGATGGAAACCGGTGAACAATAAATGACCTCGATAGGTTAGGCTTTTTGATAAACCGGACGACAGCAGAACGGCCTACCACCAAAGTTGGGTGGCGGTGGCGGGGCTCGAACCTCGAACCATAAGGTCCAAAGCACGTCCGTGGCAACGGCTAGACCACCACTACCAACTATTACCCTGTTGCTAGTTTGCTTATGGTTTAATGTAGGTCTCTCTTGCCAGCTATCAATGCAATCACGAAAACAGTCTTCAGGATGTTTGTTCGCATCTCAATTAGCTAAATTCAGGAAAGCAAAAATTTGTTGTTATTCCCTTCTGATCCCATAATTTCTGCCTTTATGTATCACCCAAAAATGTTGACGCACCACTCCCAGTGCACAAAGCCATTGCACACAGGATGGACTCAAATTTACCGTGACTTGAGTCTTACAGTTGGTCGATAAAAGTTGATCTTTTCATAAAAACCGGATTTGATTCAAATTATGATGCTAGTAAAAAAGCAACAAATAAAAAATCTCGGTATGATGCAAGACCACAGATTGATCAGAAACATATGAGGTTATGAAACATTTAGAAGGAAGAAATATCACAGTCCAAGCCAATTCAAAGTTCACTATGTTACGTTCTGGGATCGCCCACAGCCAGCGGAAGAACCAAAACCGTCTGACCGTCAGTTCCGTGTATGTTCAAATGAATGCGTTAAGCACCAAATCACATGATAAGAGAGACAGTCATAACATCATAAACGGTCTTGGTCAATGACACTGTCTGCTCACCTGCTGACCATTGGCACCCCTAACAGACTGAATGAAATGTGCTGAACTTCCAAAAAGGTCTCTAATTTTGGAATTTCACAAATTCACAATCTGTATTACCAACTGACTTAGGACTCTACAGTGCTTTATCAGAACAGTAAAAATGTATAGTATGGTTTAAGGGACTCAGTCGTCAAGCGTTTGACCATCAATGTGGTTATATTTATGCGGAAGCCGTTTCTCTCTTTCGATTCAAACAACTGGTCTTTTGTTTTCCAGTCTGGATCTTTGGTTTCTATTTCCTTGGATTTAACAACATTGCCCTGTATGATATGAGAAACCACTGGCCAGTGCTCTTTGTAGATCATCGCACTTAGCAAACTTCAGGCGTCAACAAATCATGTTCTCCTCTGCACTGAGGTTTTGATGGTAGCGTTATTGAAAAATCAAACCACTTCATGTAGATATACGTTTGGATGAAATTCAAGTAGCACCCTGATTTTTCAGATTTGTTCATCCAAATGCTTGGTATTTAAGCTTCTTTTATGGATTTGAAAATGATATTGCCCACATAGCACCTAATATAGCCGTAATAATATTGACCTATATATTTGTTTCCAATAATCGAATGCCAGTTAAATGTACGAGTTCTCGATTTCGATGAGGGTTTCTGGTGCATCGGTTGTAAAATGGCAAATTATCAGTAAAACCAGTATTCGAACATTGTTATAACATGACTCGCAAGCATGGTATAGTTCTTATACTTTAATTTTTTAAGGTGATATTCAACCTGACATATATATATTTATATGCACAGAGAGAGATCGCGAAAGATAGAGAACAAATCCGTGCGTCAAGGTGACCGTCAGATCTCTTTCTCCCAATACATAGCCTATATAGTTTCAGTCACAATAATAAATATCGTGTTATCTCATAGCGGACACAACGCGTCTGTAATGATATTCATTTATCTTTTTTCTTCCGCTAGACGGGTATCTCATGAAAGTGCAATTTCTCCATTCCGACGACAGTTGCCGAAGCACCAGTCTCACAGTAAAACAATCTCCGCGAGATTCAAGGTGATACGCTTGTAATCCCTAATGGTCGTTCATTGTTGATGTACTGCGCGCTTTATGAATAAAAAATATTGTTTCTAAAACACTAAATCACCCCACTGAAATAGTAATCACTCAATAAAATAAATTATTCCCAATGCTGACTTGCTTCAAACACTTTAACATTTTGCCAATTTTATAACTATAACATGTTTTATCAGGAAGTTCAAAAAGGGGCCATTTCAAATAGTTATATAAGAAAATTAGGAGAATTGTAATGCGAGACTATGCTGTCAGTGTGCAACTGCAATAGTGAAAAATGATATAGGTTTCTGAATTGACGGTTCTTTTGACAGAACTCAATCAGCACTTTGTTAAATATAAACTACTTTACCGAGTCATCCGAAAAACGAAACGTTAATAATAATGCTTGACAATAACGATAACTTGATCATAATATATCCCATACAGCAGCCTCATATAGAGCAGGGTTGTTCAGATGGTGTGTGTCTGCGTGTAACGAAAAGGACTGATCTTTCCTCAGCTATCGCGTGAGTAATCTACTAAGTGGATCAAAGTTGCAGTGTTCTCCTGTTCTGGATGAATCTTCACTGGTTCTATGGACATCCAATAGCGGATTCTGACGGAGCTTTAACAGTTCCACAACATTACGAGATCGAGGTCCCAGTCTGTATTGTTGGTGTGGCATAAATATAGGCCGTGAAGTGCTATTGAGAGCATTTGTCTTCTGCATCCCGTTAATTTAGATTATTTCTTATCGAACAGCTGAAAGTAGATTTAATATCGGCAAAAGTTACATAGGCATTTGTGCTTTTCGCTGTTAACGTCTTTGCTTTGAATGCTATCAAAGTCACCTCGAATCACGTGAGCAATTAGGCGTTATTTTGTACGTTAGCCTACGAAACCAATGGCAAGATCAAGTCGCGTGAACATTGAACGTAAGTTATCGATACACGGTACATTTTGCACACCTGAAGTCTCATTTTTCCAAGTGGATTATAGTTGGAGGCTTACTCATCTTTCAGATCGCAAGTGTATGTTTGTGGCAAAACGGTTTGTTCAAAGATTTACCGTTACTGCTGTGGGATATTTCGGGGATTATTAATCAAAAAAATGGTTAAAGTAAATAAAATTGATATAAAAAGTGAATCGAATTGTCAGAATGGGAGTGTGAGAAAATTATAGGATCATTAAAGATCCATTTAATCCCGTACAAAATATAGTAATCATCGTGACACGGTGACACGAAGGTGGCCTGGAGTACAAAGGTTTCAGGGTCACATACAGTGTAATGAGGAATCGGCAAAAACTAAAACGTTCCATATATAAAGGTGGTATGGAACTGCTGACTGTTTCCACGAAGTCTGAAGGGGATCTGTGTTTGTAAGTACTCAGGATTGTCATAAGAATAGGTCAGTTTGAGTTCAATATTCTCTGGTAAAAAATAGCTTTTGACACTATTCGCAGTTGCACAATCAACTGTTACATTTCCAATACGTTTTTCCTTTCCTATCTGCCTTGTAGGTTTTGACGATTTGACATGGTCATACAGTGAGATCAGATGCCAGTGAGCATACATCTTGATATAGCATTCAGGCGACCAATAAAAAGACCTAGATTCCCATCAATCTATATGGTGCATGCAGGTTATTGCAAAAACAATTGACTGAACTCTGGAGGACTATCAAACGGACCGTACTGACACCTACTGGATTTCAAAAAGTAACCCAATGTGCTTTCAACGCTAGCAACATCTATTTGCTTCCGTTTTGAATACAATGAACTGTATCTACAGTTCATCTTAGCCTACCTGGTATTCACAGAAACGGCATGTGTATTGCACAACCGTACGCGACGTGTTCCTCTACGGCCGCATAACTTGGCCGCTTAGAATGGATCACTTCCAACCACTATCTATTTTCGACGAGCGTTGTTTGTGTGACATAACCCTTGAACAGTTGGAGCATCGCGTGAGTGATGACGAAGTTAAATGACGTGTTTAGGGTCATATAGCCTACCGCTCAACAAAACCATTTCACTGCCTGAGTTCGTTCAGGCACGTCATCCGTACCGTACGCCGATTGCAGACGCCAGTTCGAGCTGGAAGAAACAGTGGGGGAGGTAAGCTATGACGTGCTTAGAGGGTTTAAGAAATTCGCTTAAAGTCTAGATTTCAATGAGGCCGCCAATTATTCAGATTGTCGTTGGCTGGAGGCACTGTGGGATATGGCATCCATTCGAAGTCAGTTGCCTTCCTGCAAACGTTTTTGTATCCAATCAAAAAGTGAAAGTTGAAAATAATTGTGCACAACAAACAAGCAAAAATAGCTGTCATCCTCTACTTACAACGGATCACGTTTGTGTTCCATTTTGTTCTGCTTCTGTATTTCTTTTTCAACCCATGGCTTTTTTCACACCGTACCTCTAAAAATTAGTGTGCTTCCAGGAAAATGTCGTCCAGTCGTTCGTATGCTATTTATTATTAAATATAAATAATACTTGACTGCATTATTCAGTGCGTTTTCAATGCTAGATAGATTTTACACTATTCGGTTCCGGCTATTATTGCACTTGTTACACAATTGCATAATGTGCACGTTTGTCAGTTGCGAACATTTTGTTAGCTTGAGCCAGATAAGTGATGAGGTACGGGGAGAAATTGATGTGCTTATCTTATGCATGTCGCTATACTCACAGCTCCGGCAGTTTGACCGACATCGCGATTAACTGCATCATTCCCGGAGGAAAAATGCACCCCATGTTGATGATTTCATCGCTATTTGGATATCTACGCAGTATCAACTGTTCACTGGATATTCAGATTGCTTTGGAGAGAGAATGTTCACCAGATCTCTATTTTATCTTCAACTTTAATCCCTAAGTTAATCCCCCACCTTAATTGAACGACGGGGGTTAATTTCACGTCACTGGAAAAAACGGGGATATAATTAAGTGTGCTAATTCCTTGCACTCCATCCTATTTCACGTTTATCATCTCGAACGACACATGAAAGTAAACAGAATTTACTAAATTTTCAAACTTTGAAAATGCACAGCGTTTGATTTTCAAAAGCTTACTTTTCATTTGCTCGACTATTTGGAGGATGTATAAAATATTCTACAGTCTACCTGGTTTATCTGATCAACGGTAAGGAGATAAGGGTGTGTAAGGTGAATGCGATTGGTGTGTGTCTGCACTCTAACCAGCTGAGGTGAAATCATTAACGGAGCCCAGGAAAGCCAACGCACGACAGATGGGCTTACTCAAATCAAAGGTGTAGAATCCTCAGTGATACAGTGCACAGCATAGAAGTACCTGCCTGATTTAGTGGGCAAACGAAATCTACTACCTTCCTTCGAATTTAATCTGTCCAAACGGGCGTGATGGAATTGATGTTGAATGAGCTCCCCGGGAAGAACTGCCAATTACTCATCACTAATTTGGTGCAAGCTACCCGGACTTGAATTTACAAAGTTCAAAAGCATGCCCTTGAACATATTCTGGTCATGCTGGGGGTTGTGCTTGTTCATGAAACTTATGAGCTGTCTCGTTCAATGGAACAAATCAACTAAAAGTAGATTAACAATAATAAAGCTAATCTTTGATGACCCCACATGTGAATTGGTCCTACCTGGTGTACATCTACCTGCATACTGATAGGAACCAGGATTCAATTGTTGTGTTAGTTTCTACGGCTAGGTCGACAGAGCCGGGCGTGATTTGTCACCATGGAGTGTTAAACGTTTTATGGCTTCGTTTTCTTTGACCGGTAGATGTTCAAAAACGTCACGCGTTGAGTCGTACACCTATGGGATATGATAATGTGTTCAGTGATCAGATACATCCAGGAGTAAATCAAAATATCTGACGAACTGAGGCATCTTAGTCAAATAAAAAACGAATTGTTAATAAACCACGTGCGTTAAAAAGGGGTTATTCGTTAGACAGGACTGATTCAATAATCCGTAAATCGCAAAGTAGTTTGGTTGTCTGAAAATCAAATTTGATGCATCCGAAGTTGAGTTGGGTTTCCACGAATTAAAACTGAAGAATGTGGTGCTCGTGTGAACAAACCACAAATACGTAACGGCTGGGCATTTTACACACGGCATGTGGTTGGTCACTGTGTTCAAAAGAAAACCACTAGGATAAAAGATAAGGGGAAACATACAATGAAATATTTCTCGGTGATTTTGCAATACCCACCACTAATCGGTTGACAGAAATAAAGTTCCCGGACAATGCGTTGAAACCAGTGGCGTACTGTAAAGGTATAAATAAACAGTTATTCGAACCTGGATACCTTTTTGTTATTTAGAGATTACAATAACACGTCCAAGTTGTTCCGGATATAGTACCAGACAATTTCCGTTTTCATGCTTTTTCTGTTTGGTGAATGTGGGAATTGGACACAAAATTCAAAAGACGCTCAGCTCCCCAGTTGGGGTACTGGTTTGCCGTTACTTGAGGGATCCAAAAGTTGAACGATAAAATTCGCTTCCCATTAGAGAACAGTGTAACATAGATAAATGAAGGCGAATTCCAGTTTTCAGGATGATTATCTCATTTTTACATCCCCGTGAAATGTAACTGAGTTCTTGGCAAACTTCTCCCTGCAATGTTGACCTGGTTTGTTGTCAAACGCAAATCCTTTTTGAACACTGTCATCTTGTTGCAAACACTTTCCGCTCATCATCTTGGTTCGCGTGGAATGGACTGCGTGTTCCGTGAAGAATACGATGCATTCAATCACGCGAACTGCAAACAAATACACTTTCAATTACCCAATTGCTTAAATGAGAAGGAGTTAAGATTAACCTCAGTTTATAATAGTTAGGCTTTTCCTGATTGTTGTGAGAAACAAGATTACGTATAGAGTAAATAAGCGCATTCTATTTAATCAATATTGTATTAAAATGACACTTAAAATGGGGCTGCATTCTATCAATGGAATAATTTTATAGTTCATTGATTCAAGGGTAAATAACTGAGAGGAATGGATAATGGTCATTAATTTCACTTAGTTACTCACAACGGTAAAGCACATTCACACGATCATGTCAAACTAAGAAATTTACCTGTTTTAAAGAGTCATTGAAGCAGGGTGGTGGATAAGTGAGTTGCTTGATTTGTTTTTGTTTATGGATTGAGAACAAGTTCAACGATAAAATTTGATAACAAATTGTGTAAGAGGACTTGTTAAACAAGATGACGAATGCTATTGCTGGTGTAGGAAAAGAGAGCAACGAAAGAAGGGAGGGAAATACATGTCATACAATGTGTTCGGGCTGTATCTGATGTGAGGCAATCAGCACCGTTTACCACTCAATAAACCTGCCTTCAGTGATATATGGGAAAGACAGAATATCGTCTGTCAACCAGACTGTGCAAATGTGTCACGGATCTCCTCCGGCTCCCCGGGATTAGCATGTCATCTGGTGTAATCGTGGGGGCCCCTAAGGATAGCAAATAAAATCGATTTTGCAAATTTCAGAAATGGAAAATTTGTTTATCGCTTGAATTCGCAATTATTTTATCAAAAACATTGACGTCGCAATTGTTATTGCCATGGTGTTACATCATACCAGATGCCACCCTATACAATTTTGTGTCATGTATATCTCCCTCCCTTCCTCGTTTCCTCCCCTACACCAACAATAGCATTCGGCATGTTTACTAACCAGCCCTCTTTTACAACGTGTTATCAAATTTCATCTTCTACCTTGTCTATATTCCGTAACCAACCTAAATCTCGATACTCACTTATCCACTACCCTGTTCCAATAACTCATTAAAACAGGCATGTTTCTTTGTTTGATACGATAGGGTAGCTGTTTCACAGCTGACTTGAAGTAAGCCCAACCTATTCATTCTTATTTCAATGAACTTTTATTTTTTTCCATTGATGGAATAGAGCTTTATTTTAAGTGAAAATGTAATATTACATGTTAGTGGAACAGATAACGTGAATAGAGTACTTGTTTTACAAATTTCTACATGCGTCGTTGAGCGAACTCTCAGCATTGTCTCTTCTATTCGTGCGACAAGACACGAATTTGGACCAGCACGTGTCGTAGTGTTTTTCAGTATGTTGGTAATCGGGATCGGGATATTTTCTATACCCATTCGTCTTTCAATCTTAGTAATGCTGATAATATGAGTGTGACAGTCGTGGGTGACATACACCCACTCACGCTTATAGTCGGAGTCTTGCTCCGTGCGGGCTGTTGGGAAAAAGTAATAGAATATCTGACTGCGTTACGGGGCCACACAACCCCTACAGTCAAACACCGCTTAAACATTCATTTAAAATTTAATCAACTTAGAGTTGGAATATGAAAACGTACAACCTGAAAATGCTCAAACTTTTTTGCAAAATATGTTGCAGTAACAAATCATGAGAGGGGTTATCCATCTATTTGACTTGTGATAAAAATGAGCAGAAACATTGCAGTGCAAACGATAATGATGACAATAGGCAAATTACGCAGGCTGCGACGATCGCCATGCTGAATGTGTCTATCTGCAATCCTTGCAGATAATGAGAGAACGTTGGTACAGAAACAATCAGGATTTATTCTTTATGACTACTTCTGTAAATGCGGATCGCGTTGGCTGAATCGCAAATGATATCATATGAAAAAGAAGACGACACTCTATGGTATTCAGTGATGATAGAATGCAAACGCGGGACCGACAAGTGCACCTATTGGATGATTTGTGGTAGAATAAACTTTACAATGTCAATGATTTTGTGATGACTTGGGGTGTCATTTTATGTATGGCACATCACGAACTACTGGTTTTCAAAGGGAATCTGATAGCCTTCTTGTGCATCTGAGTTTGCGTATCCCTGAAATTCTGCAATCTTGTCGAGTATTCCTTCTACCTAAACGGACTGACGCCAGTACGCACTTAGACCTCACATAAGTACATTGTCTTTGTTGCAGTAAAACATTATGATTGTTGATATGTTTGGTCACAGTCACGATTTGGCTCCTAAATAAGCCTGCTGGGAGAGCGCTTTATTGGCTACGTTGATCTGTGCAAATGAAAGTGTCTTCAGGATCACCCATTCGAAAACAGAAACTGAAACTGTACACGGACAAAGCTTATTGAGTTTTATTTACTTACAAGCACTCAGTGCCACTTCATTTGATTGTCAGATTATTATTGGATGGTGGTGGTCAAGTGGTTAGGTCAACATCTTGTGACCGGGGAGTCCTGGGTTCGAACCGCCCCAACACCGTCCGTCTTCCCAGGCAGCCTTCGTATGGCCGCAGTCCCCCTTCCGGAATGTTTCCTGTACATTTGTATATTCGGTAAATAAAAAATAGGAAGTGAAATTGCATTTGTTTCATTTATTATTATCCATATAGTCATTTAATCATCGAACTTGATGAGACAGTATCTATTCTATCAATCAAATATAATGTAAAATGAGCCTGATCCCCTCTCTCGTAAATTTGTTTTGGCTAATTTTTTACTATAGGTTGTATGTTGACACTAGGCTTCGTCATGCGCGTTTCGGGGAGTTTCCTATTCAATGAAATTAGTTCGTGATTGATCCGATTACGTACGACTTTGAAGGGCAACCAAATAGTGCGGATATGGTTTACACTGTTTTCGAAGACAAACACAACTAAAAGGGTGGAGAGAGAGAAAAATCGCAATCAACCATCACATAGTTTTCATCAGCTTGGCGGAAAATTGCACCATTTCTGACAAACGGAACGAAAAACAGTGTCACCGTCAGTCGCACCGAGGTTAACATCTATCCGAAAATCGCACTTTTCAACTGCACCGTTTCACATTCTCCTTTATTTCTGTTCCGATTGTCATTCTTCTGCCAAACTAGTCAACAAATCCGAAGTAAATGATCAAACGAATCAGACCAAAATGTACACAGCTATAACTCGCCAAGCATGTAAAAAAAAAGAAATTATAAACATCAACCATAAAGTGAACACATATCCTTCTTTTGGACGTCATTGGAACCTGAACAAGAGGTGGCAATTTGTCCACAATCCAACAGGTAACATTTGATTCTGTCCATCCTAATAGTCCGATGATGATTGAGGATGCCTCATCAGTAATTTTGACAGTAATCTTTATGTGATTGTTCGAAAAACGCTGACAATATCAAAGCTAATGACAGAGCTGAGGATGACGCGAAATATGTTTAATCATTTTGGACAATCATCTTGAAATGGAGTTCATCAACTTAAAACCTAGACTGCTTTTGTTAGTTGCCTTAGGCAGACAGGGCTTTCAATGCCCACCTTATGTGGTACCTGATATGGTAGCTCAATCGTAGGTTTCCACTACAACAAACGCTTGCGTTTACTACCAGATTCGTACAAATCGGTGATTATTGAATGAATTCAGCTATGTGATATAAACTGCATGAACAAAATACAGATGCTTTTCATGCAAAACAAACTGAACGAGTTAAATATTGGGATGTGCAGTATAAACATTTTCCAAACAGCCAGAAAATAAGCGGCTAAGCTATTTCCGTTTCGCTTCCAAACCACGTCTAAAACATCAAACCAGCACGTTTCAAAGTCAAATTGTAATAACAGTTTGAAGTTTTTTTCCTAATCTGTAATTTTTGAAACCAAGAACGGAAAGACTGTGGATAGGAAACACGTATAAACGTATTGATTGAGAAAGATTGATATAAAGATACACTTCTAAATAAAACACGCAGCTGTGACGTACACGTTCAAATCTAACGAGACAACTGGAGGACAACAGTTCAAACTGTAAAAGAGGTACCGGACCACAAAATTTTCGAAACACAAAACCAAGAAGATAATAAGTATTTCTGAGTATTTATTTGTAAACGTAACAATTTTAAACTACATATACTGTGGCCCTGATAAGCATAGAGTAAGTTCCCACGGGAATGCGTTGGTTCCGATTAAATTTAGCCACACAATACGAATGCTTCAGAAATTACGTTAATATAATCGCGATCCGAGTGACGTGGAACCAAATCACGTAACAAACAACCAAGCAGAACATTTTCAAACTTGAATAAGAAAAAAAATGGCATCATGTAGAGAACTGTAAATACCACAGATTGACAAACGGCTATCGAAAGCCATAACTTAGTGCAAAACACTTCAACTCCCGCGAAGATCAAATCATGGTTTAGCACAATGCATCAATCAGGCCCGACCAAACAACTTCTGGGGTATTTCTCAAAATAATCTGGTAGTATCTTTCAAGAAACTTTTGAAAATCCACCCAGAACAAACGGTGTTACACGTGTATACCGATGAAGTTGAACAGGAGCAAACGGCGAGATATCATGACTCAAATAGAGGTCGGCGATCGAGGGCAACTAGTCATCCACACAATACGGGTTTCCTAATTCCCTTAGAGGAGCAGAGGAAGGAGAAAAACATGACCCACGGTAAACTTTACTCGACAAAAGAATAGAGAATGTATGATTTTTTGGGAACACCAGGAAACGCAAAGTTTACGAAGGAACCTCGCTAAATATCAGGGACCATTTTGGAATTAAACCCAGCCCCTTTGGAGATTTGATTCTTCATTAAAACTGAACCAAGAAAAAACTTCAATGTAGAAAGTGATGACACTGACGATTTATTGATAATGATGGGTCCGACAGTACGCATGATGAAGATGATTCGATTCAAAAGACGATGATGACGATTCGGATAATGATGATGATGATGATGATTCGGAAGATAATGATAATGCTGCTGCTGATGATGATGATGACGATGATGATGAAGACGACTCGGAAGATGAAGTTCGTGGTGATGATGACCATTCGGATGATGATGTTGACGAATCGGATGATCATGTTGATGACAAAATGGACTCGGTTGATGACGATGACGATGATGATAACGAAGACTCGAAATATGATGATCATGATGATGACGACTCGGATGATGATGATGATGATGGTGATGATGATGATGATGATGATGATGATAATAATGATGATGATGATGATGATGAGGACGATTCGAGTGATGATGATGATAATGACGACGGTTCGAGTGATGATGACGACGATGATGAAGACGACTCGGATGACGATTTTCATGATGATGACGATTCGGATGATGATGGGGATTCGGATGATAATGATGATGATGACGACGAATTGGATGATGATGATGATAATGATCAGTTGAATGATGATGAGAACGATTTGGATGATGATCATGATGATGTTGATGATGTTAACTCCCAAATTGTTCATCAGAAGACCAGAAGATCAAAACTTTCAGCAAAAGAAGGTGTGTCTCAGTATACCAACTCTATTCTGACCTAAAAATGTTAACGTGGGTGCGGAGCGACCACGTGGGCAGAACAGAGCAATAAATTTGTATTCTGGTGGTTGAACATATTCTTAATTGGATTCAATGCCAGATGTCACATGGATACAACAGCGGAAATTACAAGGCACCATCATCAGTCATAGCTTGATATAATCTCATTACGCAACAACAGATAGACCGAAGCACGGCCTCTTGGATTTTCTACAAATCACGAATGCCATGATTGCTAAGGTTTGCAGAAGAGACTGTTATCATCCGATGAAAGCCTTGCAGCGTATTAACAAAGAGAACCCGTACTTATCCGGATGACGGGATCTTTTACCCCTCCCCATATTAGGTTTGTATGTTTAAATATGCTTTATTTTCGTTTTAGCCGTGCCTCACATAAACATTGCGTTTCTTGCATCATGTATAGTCACAGCAAAATGATCCTGGGCATAAGTCGTACACCTTTGCGATGTATTCTTTGCCTTTCAAGTTGGTCTCGCGAAAGGCTTCCCTCCGATCGCTTACTAACCGCTTAACACACTTTTGAAACCTGTTGAAATGTTTGCGTGTCTTGTTGGATTGGTTGCCGCGGAACCAGTACGCATCTGTTATTTGGGAATCAGTAATGGGAATTTGAAAGCAGCATACTGGCATGATACCCAGTCTGAATAGTAACCTCCGATTTGGATAGGGAGAGTCATGCCCGTTACTGAACGCATTCATTATGCAATTTTGATTAATCCCCTCCATGATTTTAAATTGTAACCGGTAAATAAAAGATGTGTTTGCATGTGATTGAAACAAGAGAGAACATTACATGCATATAGAAGTGGTTGTGTTTCATTCGTGAAAGATACCTGTTTCAGCTTTCCCCTGTCGAACAGAGGCTACACAAGACTCTGTCAGAACCGTACCCTAGTAGGGATACACAACTGTCAGGTTGAACTGGAGTATGTTTTCAAACTGGACTTGAACTGCTGTACTATGAAAATTCTCATTTGATTAAGGAAGTTTGAAATATTACGCATCCTTCTCCTTGCGGAGTTTGAGTTTTATTCTTGACCTGAACAGATTGCCTTGTATTTTTAAAACACACCATTCGGATGTCTTTGGTTAAATTTGTAATGAACTGTGGTATTCGATACTGAGGTTTAACTAAAGATTTTATGACCGATATAGTTCAATATTAGTATTCATAAGCAATTTTCAACAGGCAACCGTTTTGAACAACTCGTAATCACGTTGATGGAATTCATAGGTGTAAATAAACCATGGAGAATCAAGGAAATTTAATTGTCCCCGTGCAGCTCAGCCTTGTGAGGTTGCCGCTATCCTATGGATGCTTAAGTGTGCGATTGTATCTGTGATTCCTGACGAGATGATGAGTTTGGTTTGAAAAGCATCTGATACCCTAGTTAGGGAAGAAAATGCCTAACATGGCTTGCTTCAGTTACGGTTCTCGTGCACATTCCAGTGTTTTGGGACTGGTTCAGTGGAGCCGAAAGATAGCTTTGAGCTTGACCCTCTAGGAGGTTGACATCTGTTGTTTAGCGCTTGTTCGCATTCTTTTTATCGTGAGAGCCAATGAAAGGGCAGTGCACAGGTGCTAAATGTGGCTACCGAGGGACTGGTTCTGTATTAAATTATCAACGAACGCAAAGTGGATAACCAACACAGGGTAATTGAAAATGTGCCCTAAAGTCTACGAACTATCTAATGCACCCGGCCTATCGACTTCAATAATGATAGATGGAATAATGGACTGGAATTAACCAAGCAATCAAAGGGGTTTGTGTTGACAACAATAGTCTGTTGGATTATGATTAGGCAACTGTGTTGTACTTGCCATAAGTTAGAGGGACGTTGGCAAGTTCGGATTCTTGTTCAAAAATACGATGTTTATTGGTGGATTAGTTTATCTATTTGATATAAATATCCTCTGAATTACCGCTTGATATATACATCTTATTTACGTGCTGTGGCATCCTGCAATGGATCGTAAGTTTAGTATACTACGAGCCTACGACAATGGTGATGACTGGTTGATGATCGCTGCATCACTTGATGTGAAGAAAAGGACAGCGATGACATGGATAAGAAGACATCAAGATGAACCGTCAGAATTCACCCACGGAGGAAGACGGTTCAACAAGTTATCAAATCACCATGTAGAGGAACTCATTTCATGGATTGAGGAGAATCCGACTGTGACACTGTCGTTTCTACGGATGAAACTCAAGGCTGAATACGACAAAGAAGTTTCCATCACAACTATCAGCAACTATTTAGATGGGAAACTGATTACCATCAAAAAGATTCATCAAATACCAGTAACGATGAACTTACTGGATAATAAAGAGAAGAGGAAAAGGTAATGTAACCACCTGTTTTTGAGTCATTTCTTCCTAGATATGTTCAACACCTGCAATGGTACGAGTCACTTGGACATGAGATTATCTGGATTGATGAAACCAACTTCAACCTACATTGTTCAAGAAATTATGGGCGTGCACCAAGAGGTCAAAGGTGTCGGATACCAGTGGCCAGTTCAAGAGGAAGAAATCTGCACATCATAGGTGCTATGAATGCGGATAGTTTGGTGAATTATACTCTGAAAAGAGGATCTTACAACTCCGTATTGTGTCTGCAATGGTTGCAAACGCTAGTTGATCAACTATTGCAGGAAGAGCACAAGTCATATGTGATTGTGTGTGACAACGCACCCTGTCATTCTANCTCCGGGTTAGTTCATTCGTATCTATGACGCACACTCGATCAACGATCACGAACATAACGCTCCTGGGTGGAACAGGTGTGTGGGGGAGGCGGGAAGAGAACGGCCCACCTCGACCCACCCACCTACCACCCTACCGAAACAATCAACCTGGCTCGGTAACTCGCGAAAAATGTACTTTTGTTTGTTTACCGAGAAATTAGTTCATTCGAACTGGAGGGGGTTTAGACGGACCCGGTCCAATCGGTGACATTTGACGGCCAAAACACCAATCATCTTGTCGGGGTATCTAATGGAGTGCGATTGGTTGGATTCACTTGAAGTTACAACGGATTCACTTGAAGTTACGGCGGATTCACTTGAAGTTGAAAAGGTATAGTATACAGTGTACGAGACAGAAGTGGTTTGCAGGCCATTTTATGTTCGTCCAGATCAATTTCGTGAGCAAGGGGAATGAGTCTTAGTTGAGCACCTGAGAGTGTGTGTTCTAGATAGTTGACCTCAATTTCTGGTTACATCACTGAAAACATGTTTGTTTTTTGAAAGCATGATTTAAGTATACACCATTCTGATATGTAAATACTGCATTGGATTTTCTCTAGATCTTCATGCTTTAGGGTAAGAAATGAAACACAGAAGGTATTGAAGGGTGAGACTAGTAGCTAGATAGGTCGTTATGCAGAGAAAGAATGACATCCAAAGGAAGAATAGGTTTCGATTGGATCCCTGCGAACAGGTGTGCTTCATAGTTGTGTAGATATTTTATCAAAGAACACGAATGATTGTCTAGGGCAAAGAATTTCGAGATTGTTCTCAAGAAGGCGAGTTGGAATAACGGAAAGTTTAAACAAAAGTCAGGGTAAAACATCCATAAACAAAACGTTAAATCATATATTTGTCTGACATTGCATTCTTCAAGTATTTACACTTGAAAACAGAGATAGAGAGAAGTGGGAAGACTAAATTAAATTTGTGGCGATGGTTAATCCTCAATATTTAAAGGCGAGTAAATTGCAGATCATCATAAATAGAAATTAACAATGACTTGTACCTGTGAACCTCAATACTCGTGGTATTGAATCATTGGCAATATTTGAACTTTTGTCACAGTTTTGTTTACAACCAATTCTCGAAACTATGGAGTATGACCAAATACAGATTTCCATGTAACAAAACAGGCTGTTTTGAAGCCAAATTCGAACAAAAGAATCGAGTTGAGATCGGTTAGCGTGACCGACAATGCCAGTGAACTAAAGATGAGCTTACTGATTACCGATTATGTTTAAGGGAAAAACATTTACAGCTGCACTTTTTCCCCCTAACTGATTCCAGCATTCCAGCATTCCAGCAAGTGCTGTTGTTACATTTGTTCCAGAAAATTCCATACGTTTCAACTCCTCATATTCAACATGCAAACAAATTCCTTTTTCAAAAACAATTAAGTTTGTTCAATCTGTTCTATCTGTTACGAAGAACACGCAAGTCAATTAGATCAAGCAGAAATCAGCAGAAGGAGTGAATAAATTCACTTTCCGGTTTCACACAGGAAGTAGAGGCAATGAGAAATAGAAATAAGTTATATGATCGGCTTTTGTGCGTGTGCGTGTGTGCATGCGCGCGCGTGCGGCTGTCTTTTCTGATCATTGTAACTCAAACGGCGTTTAACGCAGGCGAATCTTTTACTTTCGTCAGCGACAATCATTTGACAGAGAACTTATGCTCTAACACTTGAGCGCGGCTACACTTAGTCACGTGCTATCAGCTTTCGAGTGAGTGTCGTACTTGAATTGATGAACGATGCTCGAGCATAAAAACGCCCCGATTGCTTCGGTCCATGCCGCTCCGTTTGTTTTCCTGTTGATGCCACTACAATTGATTTGTTCAGTTAAAGGTGTACCACTGAAGCGACTGATGAAGACGATTTATTCCGTTAAAACGGCTGGTGTGTGCGCAAATTCATTCGATTTTCGCAGGCACTGTCGATGATCTAGGGCGTGGTCTTCACTTCTTGCGAGATCGCGACTTCCCTTTCAGCTAAATGCTCTTATCCTTATCTTATTTTTTCCACTGGTGGCGAAACCGGAATTTAACGTCACTTGTGTCCAAACAAATATATCGGTCAGCCAAAGAAAGCAAATCTCATATGAACGTGCGCGTTTGCGAAGGGCCGAGTAAGTTGGAAAATGACATTCCCGCCGTATTAAGTTCACAAGCGACTTGTACAACAGTTCGGTTTTTCTATCACCACTACTGGATAACCTGTGATGTTGC